GACCCCTATTAGTCCTCTATATGTTTCTCCTAATAGGACCATGCCTGTTAAATTGCCTACAGAAGTTCAGATGCAAGATTAGATACACAAATTCACCAACCAGTCAGTCAACTACTTCTCCTCCAAGACTACCCACCCCTGACACCCAAGACGAGATCTAGAACTCTTTGTCAAATCCTCAGACTCCAGAGACTCTGCCCCCACCTAAAACCTTCCCTGACCCCTGTTACAGGAATAAGACTCTTCGCCTCTAATCAGCAGGAAAAAGCTGCAGAAGAAAGACCTTTATCCCCACTCCTGGTATCTGTAAAAATAAAAAGGGAGGAATGTTGGCATCAGATCTGCCATTTTAGCTCAGGAGCCATTTTATCTAGGAACTCCTAAATTTTAATTCTGAGGCAATGTCGACCAGCTTCTTGTAAAACATGTAACTGCTAAAAGGTCAGCCCCACCCCAGCCCATGTTGCAACCCCTAAGCGTGCATGTGAAATTCCTCTTGCAGCCTATAAAGCCCTCTGAGTGCTGACACTGCTGCTCTCCGTGGAGGGACAGTCTTGCTGGTTTGCTCTGAGACTAACAATAAATCTCGTGTGAGATTTGGTGTGAAAAAAAAAAAAAAAAAAAAAAGCACACCTATTAGCACACATCCCAACAGCATTCTTCCAACATACTCTTGGAATTGCTGAGCTAATTCAATTGCTGCTCAATTCTATCATCTGGGCAGCACTGAGTAGAAAACCATATTTTCTACTGGGGTAAGGAAATAAATTTGCTTTGAGATGCCATCAATTGGAAGGCACTCTTAACACCCTAGGTTACAGGGGGAAAAAATGTACATTAAATGTGATCATAATGTTTAAGACCCATTTGGATTCTGAAATTGGAAAATACTGAAATGGGTGGGAGGTGGGATGTATCTTAGAATCAAACTAGTATAGCATACCCAGAGTTTTTGTTTAAAAGCAGCCTCTAGGAAGGTTGAGAATAGTACCAGGAATGGGCCTTGACTATCTGTGAGCCAGTAACAATAGAAATAAAATAACGAATAGAAATAAAATAACGTAATGACTGCCCCACAACAGACTTATTACAGGGAGCAAAGATACCAGGGGACCACTGCTAAGAAAAGTAAACAAAAGTGATACGGAGAAAGGCTACTCTCACGATAGGAAAATCCCAGCAGCAAAAACTAGGGGTAACACCCAAAACATAAACATCAAGTTATGGAAAGGAATTTTAAAACAGAAATGTTCCCTGCTTAGATTAAGTGGGAGAAACTATTTAAATGAGCTACCAGATCTGAAGAATTATGACCCAAAGGCTGTCCCTTCACTCAGTGCTGATTACTGTCAGGAAGGCATGTTTGGGCTTTGCAGTTTTATCTACTAAAACATTAAGTGGTACACTTGAATTTTTGAATAGATTTTTGATTTACTGATAGGTTTCTCTAGTGCTAATCATTCCAACACTAAAACAAAACACAAATGGAAAGTTGAGATAAAGCATATTAAAGTGCTGACTGACTTCCCCATTCACCTAGTCCATTTGGGTGCCACATGACATAAACCTCACTTCTTCCTTAGGATGTTATCTCAGGAATGATCCTGATTCAAGCAGGCTCCCAAAGCCTCTCTGAAGCAAAGCAGTTAAAACTCAAGGCCACAATCTAGGTCATAGCAAGTCATGGCAACCCTGCATGGTTTGGGGGACAAGAAGATGTACTTTTGACTGGGCCAAATCCAAACCGTGCTTGAGAATAAGCTAATTTACCAACGGCATCCTGCTGATACTGCACAGCTGCCCCAGAATGCCTGCCTTCCCCCGCCTTGGAGAGAAGGAGGGCCTCGGTTACTGTCAATCAATGCTACCATCCTTCAGAAGGCATGGAAGGCCTTTGCCAGTTTTGGCCACTATGGGGCAACCAATAAGGTGCACTTCACACTCCCCAGAAGGCCGTCATTCAGGAAAGATACCACTAAGAATTCTGTCTAAATTTGCTCTTAAGTGATTTTACCTGGCCTTCAACCATAGGTTCAAACTGTCAGAACTGTATGCAACCTCCTCTCCACAAATCTGAGAGTCTCAAAGAAAAGGGAGTAATTGTTGGATTTATCAATATAAGGGTCACCAATTCAGTCTGACCCAAAGTGATCAAGAAACCAGAGACTACGTATTTTATAGTATGAAAAGAAGGTGTAATCTTAGCTTTTTTTGTGAAAATCATTTTATTTGAAGATCAATCAGAATCATCAAAACTGGACAATGGTAAATGACATGGGTAATTAGAATATAACATTCTTAAAGCAACTTCCTAAAACACCTAGAAGAAAACATGTCTCTATAAGTACTAAAATAATGAATTTCAGAACCATCCTCATCCCTCTAAGTGATTCTATAGGCATGGTCTCTGCACTGGCAGCATCAGCATCATCTGAAACTTGTTAAAAATGCAAACTGTCGGACCTTCATCCCAAACCTAGAGAATCAAAGACTCGGGAGGTGGGGGTGTATATAGCACAATAATCTGTAATCTAACAAGCCATCCTGGATATTCCGATGCTCATCTAGGATCAGGGAAGATGCACATCTGGGGTGTCTCAAGAATCTGATTAAACCCTTATTAACCGAGGGACAATTTTTCGCCTCCTTGCTCAAACTGGCATTGGCTTTTAATCTCACAGACTGATTTTACCAAGGAGGGGTTGAATACTTAGTTCCAGGCCACTGTGAAAGCCAAGTCAGAGCTCCACCCCAGGGCCTGCTGTCTTCTTCAGCAACCTTGAATTTCAAAGCAAGGCCTTGCTGACATGACAATTCTGGGTCTCAGGACCATGAACATTGATAAGGCATTCCAGGTGGTCTCCTAATCTAATCTATACCATGCTGCCTCCCTCATAGAAATATGAGGACTGAAGTTTTAATCCTTAAAATCAAGAGAGAGGTGGATTTGAGGAAAGGTGAGGGTAAATAGGTACTTCCAAAGACATGGCCAACTAAGTCCCTTGGTAAAGAGTGGTAGAGGGGAGAAGACTCAGGTGTTTTGTTATAATTAAGGATTAATTAATTTTTAAAAACTGAGTAAAGAGCTCAGAGACAATATCTGGCATGAATGGTGCTTTGAAGTTTTCTTAGCACTTTTCATTTTCATATCTTATCCAAGTCTCACAACAACCCTGCAATGGAGAGGGATAATGCTGTGATTATCCCCATTCGACAGAAGAGAAAACTCAAGTTCAGAGTGGGTAATATTTGTCCACCAGACCTGTCATCGGCTGTAAAGCTGCAACTTGACCTCAGGTCTATCTCACTCTAGAATTTGTTTAGTGTAACCGCCCTATGTGATTTCCACATCTGGAAATTCACCCCAAAGTGGACTAACCCCAAGGAAAAAGCAAAAGAGAAAACATCATTCAGCAGAAATAGGGGGTCTCTAAAACATGGCACTTGAGCACTGTGTGGGTGCCCCTTTAAGAACTTAACACACAAACCCAACAGCCAAGGTGTTCAGCCAAAAAAGAAGAAAAAAAAGAGGCATATTTCTAGCCTGCATAATCATTTCTGGACGTATTCCCACTAGCAGCCTCCGGCTCACAGCCTGGGCTGAAGCTCCTCCACCGCCCCCCCCCCCTCCACCACCAGGGTTATGACAGCGCAGCTCTGACTCGTGCGCAGGCAAAACCCCAAAACTCAAAAACAAGAAGTGAAAAAAGTGGAGCCAGGAGAAATTATGGGCATCTTCCACACCCTTGCAATCCACACAATGCCAGTTCTAGAGTCCTGGGGTCGCCTAGAACTGGACCTTAAGAGAAGATGGGTTGAGTGACACCTTCTGTGGACCCGCTGGCCCTTTTTTCACACCCAGTCCCGGAGGAAGAATAGAAACGGGAAGGGGTTCGTTATGAAGTCCTGGGCCAGAATCAAAGGCAGATACACCCCACACCCTCGCCAAAGGAACAGTATGTCTTACTAAATTCTCTACCTGGCCCTCCAGGTCCTGTCCTCTGCGATGATGAACAGGGTGGGGCGGTGGGGTGTTATAAACCCAAGGAAAAAGGCAGGAGGAAAATTCGGGCCATCCACCTACTCCAGCCTCGCTGCCCCGCCATGTGTGTGAGGCTAGATTCCGGCGCGCGCCGCAAGAGCGAATTCCGAACCCGGCGCCCTTGACTAGGTCTGAGGTTGGGGATGGGACATCACCTGGTACTAAACGTCCTGGGGGCAGAGAGCTGTGCCTGCCAGAGCAGCCCGCCTCAGTTTTGGCAGCAATGATTTTCCTAGAAGACGCCACCGTTCACAAAGATCGGGGTGATTCTCTGATTTTAGCCTGGGGTAGGAGGACTCACCCGAAGGGCTCAGCGACCCACCGAGTTCCCCACACTGGGATCCTCCAGGCGGCACGCTCGGGGATCACACTACCTTGGGGATAGTAAGGAAAGAAAAGCTCTATCTTCAACTTTCTCAGAGGGAACTGCTCCACTCCGGGATTTGCCCAATCTTGCCCACACCCTGAGTCCCAGGTTGGGAGAGAATCAGGAATCGAAGCCCCTTCCACGCTCACAAAGCCCCTCTCCCGATGCCCGCCAACTTGAAAGCATCTCTCTGGTGCCTGCCTAGTCCTCCCGCCCGTAGCCAAGCCCCTGCCTTGGCCGCCCGCAACCAACAGAGCCCCAGGCTCCCCAACAGTAGCTGCAGCTGCAACCGCATACCCCCCGGGCCGGGCCTCCACCTCGCCCTACCGTGCAGCCTGGTTAGTGCCCTGGCCGGTGCCAGCGCGCGGCACGCGTCTCAGCTGGCTAGACTCCTCCCCAGGGGCTGCCCCGCGCAGGGCTCCGGGCTCCGGACAAGGCTCGGCCGGCCCTGGCGCTGGCTCGCCGCTGCTCGCGGCTCCAGCGCGGGCTCCTGCTGCCGCGCGCGAAGAGGGAGGGGTGCGGGGGAAACTCCCGGCAACTCCAACTCCGGGCTCTGAAGCTCCAGCTGCAGCCGCGCGCCCGCCCGCCGCCGAATGCGAGCGCCTGCAAAGCAAACCTGCCCCCGCGGTCGCCTCTGAGCATGCCCAGTGCCGCCGTGGGCGAGCCCGAGCGCCCTAGCCCGGGGCAAAGTGCAGCGGCAGGGGCCCAGGAACTCGCCCCAGGCTACAGAGCACAGGGGGAAGGGGGTGGAAGGGAGGATCAAGAGCGCGGGCTCGCAGCAGAGGACCTGGAACAAACTGGTCAGTGTGTACAAGGCAATGTGAGTTTCATGGGTTGTGGGAAGTTTGTGGGCTAGAAAGATGGATTGCTTCTGTGAGCCTCTCTGGAAGACTATATTCGAAAGAACAACCAGAAAACATTTATTCTCCGGGAAAGAAAGAGTGGGCCCTGCAGATAGGTTTTTATCCAGTCTCCATGCCTAGGGTGGCAAACTCAGAGAGCTAAGGGGACCTGATTAGCAGTCAATATAAATTAGTAAAGTGAGTGGGAAGAGGTGAACTGAGAGATCATTAAGGGCAAGGCCACTGTTCTGCTCTAGATGTCCATTGCTGTCGTGCAAGAATTCAGACCAAATTTTGCTGGATTTTCTGATTTTTTAAGAAATGGCAGAGATGTCAGTTTTCTTCATGTAAAATATTCTTGTTATTAAATCTTGATAACAAATACAATTTTGTTTTCAAAAACTAAACCGATCATAGCTGTGTCCTTTCCCTGCTCAGCCAGTTTGAGCCAATGAATTCTGCATTCTTGTACTGGAGAGGTATTGAGTGCCCACTGTGGTTGGGAAGGTTCGGGAAAAGATCCAAGATGATTCAGACTGCTTTCAAAGTACTAGGGGAAATAGGATTTTCCTGACAGAGAGCTACTGATAAATGCTGGAGCATTCAAGGAGAGGTAGGTAATGTACAAAGTGGTTGTGAGTACTAAGTTTAAGAAAGCATCATCGATAAAAGTACCTGTGTGGAAAGTCACTGCAAGATAGGTAACAAAGCCCATGGGAGGCATTTTGGAGTCTGAAGCAAAAGGAAATATCATGAACACTAATCCTGTCTTTATTTGAATTTTTTTCATGAAATATTTTTCATCATTCCTTTTTTTACTAGCTTAGAATTTTTTAATTCTAAAAAATCACCCCCTACATACAAAGTGCCTTCTAATTCATATCATTAAAATATTAACATTCAATACTGAGTTCTTTGGCAAACCTTCAAATTGTGGGTCCTACTTCACCCTGGACTGGCCCTACTTGGTTTGAGTAAAAGGAGCAAGAATTAGCATACCAAAATAGGAAAGAGGGTTGCAGAAATGGCGGGGGTCTCAGGCATAGGGCCTGATTGCCAGTGTGTGCAGCCTACAATTTATTTGTAGGCTCTGTGGAGAAGAGAGTAGGAGAAGAAAGTGGCATAATCCAAACTGAACTCTGGTTAGATGGGCCCAACAGTAGAACTAGGAAGATGGTTTGGAGGGGAAGAATGGGAGAAATGGGGATACCTAAGGTATCTTCACTGTTTCATGAAAATCAGAGGATTTCCCTGATAAAGTCATGTAGGCTTTGCCAAGTCTCTGAAGGACACATGCAGGGTCTAGCTTAGTTGATCTTAAAGTGAATAAGTGATCTTAAAGGAATTTGGGGCTAGGGATATAGCTTAGTGGTAGAATGATTGCCTAACATGCATGAGGCCCTCCTGGTATTGATGCCCAGCAACACACGCACACTGAGAAAGAAACAGAAAGAGAAAAAAAAATGTAACAACCAGGAAGATCTTCCAGATCCTGTTCTAACCTCAACCATTTCCCTATCATGTTTAGAGGTGGATGAATGACTCCACCTCTAAGCTGTGCTTTCCTTCCTTGCGAAATGGAAAACAATTCTCACAGTGTTCCTGTGAGGATTTAGAGAAAGAGTGTATGTCTAAGGGTTTTAGAATGTTGAGAGTTAAGCAAATAGAAGTTACTGTTTTTAATTACATATCATCTATATAAAATCTGAATTGAAATGAGAAATTCCTACTGTTTTACAAAAGTTGTCTTTAAGTAAGCAAGCTTCATTGATTCAACAAGATATTTTAATGTGTTGGGATGCTGTTTATAATACTTTGGAATCAGCTTTTGGGTAATTGAACAATTTTGTCATTTAAGGCATTCCTATAATATTCTAGTTCCCATTGACAGTCACCTCTTTTTTCCTCACGGTCTTCTTTTTTTATCTTTTCTTTCTCAATATTGAAGGTCTCATCAAGATCACCCCCTCCATACAAAGTGCCTTCTAATTCAAATGCAGGCCAGCACTGTAGTGTCTGCCTCATCCAGACACCTGGGACCTACCTCAGTGCTGTGCTGTGAGTGATTTTTCCCTGCAGGTGAGCACATCAGTTGCTGCATTCATGGGGAACAGACCAGACTGGCACTTATCTATGGGAAGCATTTTAAGCATGCCAAACTCTCAAAGGGGAAAAAAAAAGAATGCTTGGGTGTTTACACAAAAATCCTTCCAGAAGTTATGGAAAAGAGGAAGTACCTAGCCCAGAACCTATCACATAACAGGTAGTTACAAATATTTGCAAAATAAATAGCAGTTTCCATCATCAAAATCTTCTTTGTCTCTGTTCCACCTCCCACAGTTCCTAAGAATTATTATTTTTAAAAATCACAATAATGATAAGGTCATCAAAAAGAACAAGAACAGGATGTAAACATTTATATAGGGAGGGGTTCTGTGCTTTTACAAGTAAAATACTTTTCTTACATTTTATGTGTTTGTTTAGTTTGGGTGCTGGGGATAAAACCGTGGCCTCATGCATGTTAAGTACGTGTTTTACGACTGAGTTACACCACCAGCCCTCTCTGCTTAAATTTTAAGTTAATTGTATTTTTAATTATTATTAATAAATAATACATGGTATAAAGGAAATACAGTACAAAAACCAGCTCAGTTCAGAAGAAAAACAATTTCCCTCCCCAAGAACTACTATTGTTGCCTGTTTCTTACATACAATTATAGAAATACCATATGCATGTCACTGCAAGCATAGCTGTTCTTTTTATTTTTAAAGTACAATCATGAAATGATAGAATTGATAAAAAAAAAAAAAAACCTTCTAGTTCATCTAGATGCCAAGTTAGAGACTTTCAAAATGTCCTTGTATTGTGAGAAAGAAAAGGAAAATATAAAAGTGATCTTCCCTGTGGCGCTAGTAAACTCATGGCTGTAAGGACATGGGACCACATGGCAAACCCTCCTGTTAGCATTTAGTGATGCATGAAAAAATTGAGTCCATCTAGAGTCACCCTGAACTCCCTAATGCCCACTGTGAACCTCACCCTAAAACACCTATGTATTTAGATATCTCACGTTGCCTAGGGCTATGGACAGACATGCTGTTGAAATAGCAAATGGAATAAATTGAGATGGACACAGAGCTTGAACCAGGGAACTGGGCATTATAACATAACTATTTTTAACAGCATCACTTATGATATAACATCATCAATCACAGTATGTCTTCAAGACTAGCAAAGTCTATATATTATTTTTAAACTCCTCTACTACCCAGCATAGCTAGTAGCTTTTCAATTTTTTAATTCTTATGATGTGACTTCAGATAAGGAAAATCAGGAATCCATCCACTTATCAACTTGTAGGTTAAACCATATCAAACTGTCATTTTTGTTGGTCACAGTATCTTGAATATTTAGAATTTCATGTTTCAACCTTCATTACATTCTTCCAAAGTCGTCTTTGTTTTTAGAACCAGAAGAATCCTTATTCCTTGGAATAACATTCATTTTCCTACAAAAGCCATGTCACTAAAGTAGTGCTGAGCAATCTATTTGATTCCTAAGGTTTTATAATAGGACCTGATCAGGTCTTGGTTGCTGGGCTGATTCTATGCAGAGCAAAGAGGAAGAAATTTCTCTCTCTCTCTCATGAGGAGAACAGCACCAGCCTTGATTGGTCTTGAAATGGGTACAAATATTGTCAGCCTCTTTCTATTCTTTTTGCACCTTACTTCCCCAGAATTCTCCTGAAACCCTTTTCCATGTATTTGTCCTCTTCATTCTGGCCTTAATTTTCCTATCTCAGCTTGCCTGTTACTTCCTATTTTTAAGAATCAACATTCTGGGCTGGGGATGTGGCTCAAGCGGTAGCGCACTCGCCTGACATGCGTGCGGCCCGGGTTCGATCCTCAGCACCACATACAAACAAAGATGTTGTGTCCGCCGAAAACTAAACAATAAATATTTAAAAAAAAAATTCTAAAACAAACAAACAAAAAAAAAGAATCAACATTCTTTTAGTATACTTCAAGTGAGAACTGAGTAAACTAACTCAGTTAAATTATTTCACATTCATATGTGGAAGGTTATCAACCTTTCCAAAGATATGTGCAATATAAAAGTATCTTGTGGTCTTAAAGGAATTTGAGGCTAGGGATATAGCTTAGTGGTAAAGTGATTGCCTAACATGCATGAGGCCCTGGTATTGATGCCCGGCAGCACACGCACATGGAGAAAGAAACAGAGAAAAAAAAATGTAACAAGAAAGAACTCTGGAGTTAAGAGTAGAAAGAATGTATTAAGGAAGGGAAGAAATTGGATTCCTTGTTATTCTACTCTTAATAATTTCTTCCCATCCTCCTTCTTCAAAACTATGGATTCTTTTAAAGCTTTAGGTTTTATTTAGCTTTTCACAGTAGCTCCCTTGGCAGTAGCAGCAAGCGTCCCCAGGCTAGTGGTAGATGTTGAATGTATGTGTCATCTGTAAGTTGGGAATGAAATCTGTCACTTTTGGTGACATTGATACGGTGAGGTCTGGGAGATCTGCAGAATTCAGATGGGCTCCTAGAGCTTGTGCTTGAGTTCCTATTCTGTTCCCCACACAGCTAACCTTGGTCTGTGGTTTCATCAAAACTTTAAGGATGCTAGCTAGTTTATAACTGGAGCCCACCCTTTTTTTATGACTGAATTGTCATAAAATAGCCTGTCACTAATTTACTAAATATACAATTTCTTTCTCTTCTATGCTTTTGAGAGCCAGCATAGCCAGGCACTGTGGCTTGTGCCTCTAATCCCAGCTACTCAGAATGTGCAAGACACTGGGTTTAATTCTCAGCACTGCATATAAATAAATTAAAGATCCATCAACAACTAAAAAATAAAAAAATTGAAAAAAAATTTTTTTAAAGAGCTGGGGAGTCGCTCAGTGATTGAGCACCCCTGAGTTCAACTCCCAATTCTGAAGGAATATAAAAAAAAAAGAGCCAGCATAAGTGTTGACTATTGACATCAAATCTGATTACCTCAGCCCACTACCATACACTTGAAAATGGAATATTTCTGAAAGCCATGGCAGATTTCAGATCTTGTTTCTTCCCTCTCACCTCTGACAGTCTTCTACTGACCTCCAACTTCTTCCTACTTCTCTAATTATATTACTTTATCCCCTGCGCTGCTTCAGGTTTCATATATCAACATACTGATAAGACAAAGACTAGGAAGGAGATGGTTTCTTGAGGAAAAAAATAAAAATAAAACCAAAACAATTTTTGTCTTGCAAAAAAGACTTGATTACATCCCGAATTTGGTTATTCTGTAATATTTTTAAAATTCTTAACCACATCTTTCCAAATAGATGGTGAGTCCCTTGAGAGCTGGGAAAAGTCTTAGGAGTCTTCTGTCTCCCCTCACCCAATGCCTAGCACAGAGGCAGGAGCCCAACAAAAAAAAATAATAGTTAGAACCTGCCTTCTTTTGGGTAAGTCATCAGGGACAGGAGACAAAGTTCATTTTAGAGATATCTGCAATGAGTTTTACAATCAAAAGGTACATTGTGCTATTGAAAGTTCAGAGTAAAAATAGTGGTCAAAGGAAGACAGACTTTTTTGAAGAAATAATGATTAAGCTGAAGTCTGCAGAATAAATCTGAAGTAGTTATATTAGAGAAATATACAGGCAAACAAGAAGCCAAGAAAGAATTTTAGGCAGAGAAAACAGCATGTCCAAGGGGTGCTGCATTGGAAGGGTATATGTAAAGGTTGAAAGGGATCTCAAAGGTCTTTAGATTTAACCTATTACTGACTTCACAGATTTTCCAATGCAACTCAACACTAATAAGAACTGCTACCATAAAGAGGCACACTGTCCTCAGCAAGAGACATCAAACAATCGAGTGTGAAGAAGCAGCGTACCATGGGAAAAAGAACATGGATTTCATATTAGACAGATTTGGTCCGAAACTGTTTCAACTCCTACTTTAGAATCTTGGGCAAAATCCACAACCTATCTAACCATTAGATTTGTTATCTCTAGATATTCATATTACTATCTATTTATAGTTTTAATTAGAGTATATCATGCTAAGCGAAATAAGCCAATCCCCAAAACCAAAGGCTAAATGTTTTCTCTAATATGCGGATGCTAATTCTCAATAAGGGAGACAGGGCACTAGAGAAGAATAGAGTTTCCTTAGATTAGTTAGAGGGAAGTGGAGGGGAGTGGATAAGAAGGATAGTAGAACAAAACAGACATTATTACTTTATGTATATATGTGACTGCATAACCAATGGGATTCTACAACATGTACACTCAGAAAAATGAGAAATTATATCCCATCTATGTATGATATATCAAAGTGCATAAATGCATTCTACTGTCATGTATAACTAATTAAAACAAATAAGAATATTTAAAAAAAAGGGAAAACATACATAATATACTTAGCACAATACCTGGCCCACAGAAAACATTGAATAAATATTGCTATTTTCAGCCCATGACCACCAATCTAGGGCACCCCAAGAAATATGAGATCAGAAAACCAAAAGTGTTTTGAACTTCCAACCCAAGCTGTTGCTTAGAAGCACTGCCTCTGCCATAGGCAATCGTATTTTATCTCCACAGATGCAAAATAGCATCACTGTTTTTACAAAAACAACTTTCTATACATAAAAAGTGCTTTTTAAAAAATGTCCAGCTCCTCCTGTCCAGATGTCCTTGTGTTTCCATCTGTTACGAGAGTTGCAAGATAATGTAAATTAACAGTTTGGAGATTTCAGCCTTTGTGTTTATGACTCAATTAAGACTAAGAAATTCTTTCTATACCAAATATTAGTCTTTTAGAGTGACTAGTTATGAATTTCGGTCCAAAAGAGTGAAATACAACTAATTTCTCATTTCTTGAATTACTAGAATTAAAAGTATTATATCATCTAGCAGAAACGTTGAAAAATATACAAAGGTTGTTGAAACCACCCTCTGCAGCAGCAGAGCCTCCATCTTAACATGGATGTATCTTGTTGTTAAGTTCAAAGTTTGGAAGACTGAAGCATCTTAATCACTGCTTCCTTTTATTTCAGTAATA